ACTTATAGCCAGTGATTTGCTAGACCCACCCCTTAGCATTTCTCACTGAAAACATCCCATTTTGAACGGATTTTCCCTCCTAACATCTGCTCTGTTGCTAGTCTTTCCCAGCAGAGTTAGTGACATCTCCATCCTTCCTTGTCCAAAAGAAACTTGGCACTGTCCTCCATTTTTCTTTTTCTCACACCCACATGCAACTCACGAGCAATTCTTCTTGGCTGTACTGTGAAAATATTGCATCTTCATTTCTCAGCTGACCACTTTCCAGCACCCCCTCTGCCTCCGTCCTGGTCCTGCCTCCCGTCACATTGGGCACCAGCCTCCTGACACCCAGCTGGTCTCCTAACTTCCATCTTTGCCCATCTGCAGTATATTCTTAGTAAGGCAACTAGAATGTCCCTTTAAAAACAAGTCAGATGATATATTTTGTCTACAACCTTCTATTAGCCAACTGTCTCACTCATTAAAACCCAAAATCTGTCCATTGCTTCTGAGGTGCCGTGAAATGGGCTCAGCACTCTCTCCCTCCCTTTGACCTCATTGTCCCTCCTTCCTCTCCCCCTACCGCCCCTCCAGCAGAGCACCAGCCTTGCTGATCTGGACCAGCTGGGCAAACAGACTCTGCCAGGAACACTTGTTGCAGAAATACACTCATGGCTTGGCCCCTTACTTCCTTTGCTAAAATGTCACCTTCCCAGTGAGACAGTCCCTGGTGGCACTTTTAACATTTCTCTGCCTCCCAGTCCCTACTCCCCTGCTTTCTTTCTCCCTAGTGCTTTTGCTTTAGTTTGTTGTCTGTCTACCTACTATGAGCTCCTTGGGGTCAGGAACTGGGCAGTGCCTGCACATAGTAGGTGCCCTTTACGTATTTCTTCAGTGAGTCATCATTGCCTTCCGATTAACCCCATGGCAAGAGCCAGCTGACCGTTATCTCGTATTTGTCATTTGATAACCGTGGCTTTTTCACATTTATTTAGCCTCTACAACGTGCCAGGAATATGAAAGTGAGTGCTAGTGCACAGAGTTTACCCTGTTGAACAAACAAATTCATACAGCTCACTAGCATTGCTTTTTTTTTTTTTTTTTTTGAAACGGAGTCTCGCTCTGTCACCCAGCCTGGAGTGCAGTGGCGCGATCTCGGCTCACTGCAAGCTCCGCCTCCTGGGTTCACGCCATTCTCCTGCCTCCGCCTCCCGAGTAACTGAGACTACAGGCACCCGCCACCATGCCCAGCTAATTTTTTGTTTTTAGTAGAGACAGGGTTTCACCGTGCTAGCCAGGGTGTTCTCGATCTCCTGACCTCGTGATCCGCCCGCCTCGGCCTCCCAGAGTGCTGGGATTACAGGCATGAGCCAGCGTGCCCGGCCACTAACATTGTTTTTTATTTTAAACTTCACTATGCAAAATTTACTTTTTTTTTTTTTGAGACGGAGTTTTGCTCTTGTTGCCCAGGCTGGAGTGCAGTGGTGTGATCTCAGCTCACTGCAACCTCTACCTCCTAAGTTCAAGTGATTCTCCTACCTCAGCCTCCAGAGCAGCTGGCATCACAGGTGTGCGTGCCACCACTTCTGGCTAATTTGTGTATTTTTAGTAGAGACGGAGTTTCACCGTGTTGGCCAGGCCGGTCTTGAATTCCTGACCTCAGATGATCCACCAACCTTGGTCTCCCAAAGTGCTGGGATTACAGGTGTGAGCCAAGGCACCCAGCCACAAAGATTTCAAAATCTGAAAACAATTTGCAATCTGAAACACTGGGCCTGAGCATTTTGAATGAGGCCCACTCGGCCTGTACTGCATTTGTCATCTGCTCCTGTCGCTCCATCCACTCCCAGGCTCACGTGCCCACATAAGGTGGGTGCCAGAGGTAGAATTTTTTTCAGAGTTTTGTCCCAGGGTAAAGACTGTATTGAGAAAATTGACTTTGGGTAGAGCAAGATTACCTTCTTTTTTAGACAGGGTCTTGCTCCATCGGAGGCTGGAATACAGTGGCGTGATCGTAGCTCACTGCATACTGCATCCTTGAACTCCTGGGCTCAAGTGATCCTCCTGCCTCAGCCTCCTGAGCAGCTGGGACCACAGGCACGTGCCACTACACCCAGCTAATTTAAAATTTTTTTGTAGAGACGCAGTTTCCCTCTGTTGCCTAGGCTCTTCTTGAAGTTCGGAGTTCCAATTATCCTCCCGCCTCAGCCTCCCAAAGTCCTGGGATTACAGGCATGAGCCAAGCCTGTTCAAGATTGTCTTTTGCTCTCCAGTCCCTAGGAGAACAAAGCCAGGTGCTGAGGCTTGAAGAGGGGCCAGGGAAACTGCGATTGAAGTGTTACAAATACATGTTTTCTCCAGGCTAGTGAGAAAGTGCCCACTTGCCTTCTGGTGGGGTAGGTAAGCCTTCCCAACTCAGAGTCATCCTTTTGCAGCGTCAGTTAGTGTTCATTTTTTTAAAAAATGTTTTTTAAACTTTTAAACCACATTTACCCATAGTAAAATACACATAACCTACAATTTGCCTTTTTTTTTTTTTTTTTTTTTTTGAGATGGAGTTTCACTCTTTCACCCAGGCTGGAGTGAAGTGGTGCCATCTCTGCTCACCACAACCTCTCCCGGTGGTCAAGCGATTCTCCTGCCTCGGCCTCCTGAGTAGCTGGGATTACAGGTGCCCACCACCATACCTGGCTAATTTTTGTATTTTTAGTAGAGACGGGGTTTCACCATGTTGGCCAGGGTGGTCTCGAACTCCTGACCTCAGGTGATCCACCTGCCTCAGCCTCCAAAAGTGCTGGGATTACGGGTGTGAGCCACTGCGCCCGGCCCAATTTGCCATTTTAACAGTTCTTAGTGTACAGTTGAGTAGTGTTAAGTATGTTCCCATTGTTGTGCAACCAATCTCCAGAACTTTTTCATCTTGCAGAATTAAAACTTTGTACCCATTGAACAACAGCTGCTCATTTCCCCCAGCCCCAGCCCCTGGCATCCACCCTTCTAGCTTTCTGTCTCTATGGTTGCCTCAGGTAAGTGGAATCATAGGGTATTTGTCATTTTGTGACTGGCTTATTTCATTTAGCAAAATGTCCTCAAGGTTCATCTGTGTTGTGTCATGTGTCGTTTCTTTTTAGGGCTGAGTTAGTGTTTATTCTTAAAAGCCTAAGACTCTGAATATAGATAGCTGTTCTTTGCATTCACACCTTAAGGCAACTCCCTGCATTATGCCAAATGTGACATTTGTTTCCCCCTCACCCTTCTACTCAACTAAATTTAAGTATTATTATTATTATTAATTACTATTATTCACTGGCTCCATCCACTCTTATGAAAATTTAAGTATTATTGCTTTACATTTTTATGGCAGGAGTTGGTTGTCAAAGCATGTTTACAAACATTTATTTTTAAAAACAGCAATACTGAGCTGTAATTCACCCATTTAAAGTGTACAATTCAGTGGTTTTAGTATATTCACAAGGTTGTGCATCCATCACCAAAATCAATTTTACAACATGCTCATCATCCCAAACCTTGGACTAGCTATCACTCTTCACTCCTTCCTCCCCTAGCCCTGGGCAACCACAAATCTACTTCCTGTCTCTATGGATATGTCTCTTCCGGACATTTCATAAATGGAATCATACAATACGAGAACCTTTGTGACTGGCTTCTCCCACTCAGCATAATGTTGTCAACATTCATCCGTGTGGCATGTATCAGCATTTCATTCCTTTCACGCTTACCTTGTAGGGTTGTTGTAAAGATTAACATAGGTAAGACCTGTGGTATGTTTAATGGTGCCTGGCACCTAATCCATGCTGAAATGTGGGTGGCAGTGGCAGGGGCAGTGGCAGTCATTATTGGGGAGGACAGGGCAGATGCTCGCTCTGTTCTTTTAAGTTAATTAAGTGACTTGCCTAAGACATGGCCAAATGGAAGTTCACTAACAGGTCTTGAGTCTCCACGGTACCCTGCTACCTCCTGACTGTAATATTTTGTTTCAGCGTGTGAGACGTGATAAACACCTGAGATGCTGTGGGGCTCCATGTGGGATATGAATACCAGCACCGGAGTTGAGGGCTCAGGGGGTCCTGGGTGGAAACGGTTAACATTTAAAATAAATAATGTTATCAAAATGTGTACTTAAAACAATTCAAACATAATATTCCTACATACTTATGGGGTACCTGTGATATTTTGTTACATGCATAGAATGTGTAATGATCAAGTCAGGGTATTTAGCACACCCACCACCTTTAACATTTATCATTTCTTTGTGCTGGGAACATTTCAAATCTTCTAGCTGTTCTGAAATATACAACAGTTGTTGTTACCTTTAGTTACCCTAGGTGCTATCGAACTCTAGAACTTACTTTTTCTATTAACTGTATGTTTGCACCCATTCACCAACCTCTTCCTCCCTCTCCTACCTCCGTCCAGCCTCTGTTAACCATCACTCTATTCTCCACCTTCACCAACCTCTTCCTCCCTCTCCTACCCCGTCCAGCCTCTGTTAACCATCACTCTATTCTCCACCTTCACCAACCTCTTCCTCCCTCTCCTACCCCGTCCAGCCTCTGTTAACCATCACTCTATTCTCCACCTTCACCAACCTCTTCCTCCCTCTCCTACCCCGTCCAGCCTCTGTTAACCATCACTCTATTCTCCACCTTCACCAACCTCTTCCTCCCTCTCCTACCTCCGTCCAGCCTCTGTTAACCATCACTCTATTCTCCACCTTCACCAACCTCTTCCTCCCTCTCCTACCCCGTCCAGCCTCTGTTAACCATCACTCTATTCTCCACCTTCATCAGATCAACATTTTTAGCTTTCACATGAGTGAGAACATGTGATATTTGTCTTTCTGTGCCTGGTTAAAATGTGTACTTTTAAGATATTTATTAAATATTTTAAGAATAGGATACTGTGTAGTTAAAAAAAAAAAAACTCATCCTGGGTTAGGGATGAAAAGCCATTCAATTATTAAATTAACTCGAATCCTTTCTTTTATCTCCCTTTAGTGGAGTCATTGGGCGAAGCTGGGCCATGCTGTTTGCCAGTGGAGGCTTCCAGGTGAAACTCTATGACATTGAGCAACAGCAGATAAGGAATGCCCTGGAGAACATCAGGTGGGCCAGCTGCGCTCTCCAGGAGGAATGGAAGTGGGTCTGTTTCTCTCAGTTGGTCTCGTTCGTCATATCCTCAAGGCTGTGAGGACCTGTGACGTCACGTTTTTGTCTGACGGTTACTGCAGTACCTCTGAGTTGGTAAAGGTCAGGCCTACAGTGGCGAGAATGTGAATTCACTCTGGGGAAAGGCTCCCGTGGGGGAGGAAAGGACCCTTCTGGCTGAATGGATCTGCATCAAGCATGAGTGACTTTGCAGCTTCTCTGGCTGTTTGCCCCAGGGCTGGAGGGCTGGGGTTTCCTGCTTCCATCCAGGCAGGAGGAACTCCCTTCCAGCATGTAACAGCCATAGCTGCAGGGGCATTACAGTTTAGGAACAGAGGTCCAGCAGCTTGTTTTGACCTGTTGATAGTAATGGTAGGACCCAATGACAACATTTTAGTTAGAGGTTTGGCACTCTTGTGAGAGGACAAAACTGGAGCTACTTATGTGGTTATGATGAACTGTGACAGTGGTACTAGTTAAAGGTGTGAGAGTGGATGAACTCCCCAAATGCTGAGTGCTGAGAATGCAGAGGGCTGTTTTAGCGATGGTAGTCACAGGAACCAAAGAAAGGCTGCGAGTGAGGGAGGTCAAGGACGGGGGGGAGACGCCATCGCAGCGGGCCCAGAAGCACAGGCACTGGCATGAGGCATCCGCACTGCACGGCATGTCCCCGTGCGGTGCCGTCCCGGAACCAGGTTCTGACCATCCCTGACATGCATTAGCTGGTTATTATCCTCATTTGGAGGATATCCATGAATATATAACTTGCATTTGCATTTTTGTGCAATAAAAATAAGCTTACTTTATTGTCTACATTTTGAAAAGACTAATATGTAGGGTATGATGTTAAACTATAGGCATTAAGAAATTATGTGCCCTAATCCAGTGTTGATTAAGAACCTGAACACAGAGAAGTTAAGTTACTTCTTCCATATTGTTACAAATAGTCAATGCCAGGGTAAAATGTCAATCTAAAAATCAAAAACCTTGGCCAGGCCTGGTAGCGCACACCTGTAATCCCAGCACTTTGGGAGGCTGAGGTGGGAGGATCACTTGAGGCCAGGAGTTCAAGACCAGGGTGGGCAACATAGTGAGACCCTGTCTCTACAGAAAAGAAGAAAAAAATAGCCATTGTGTTGGCACCCATCTAGCTAGTAGTTCTAGCTACTCAGGAGGCTGAGGCAGAAGGATTGCTTGAGCCCAGTAGTTCCAGGCTACAGTGAGCTATGATTGCACCACTGTACTCCAGACTGGGCAGCAGAGTGAGACTTTGCCTCAACATAAATAAAATAATAAAGTACAAAACCAACCAGACAAAAATCAAAAGTAAAATGATCCCCCAAAAAACCACTCATATAGACTATACTGTTTTGGAAGGAAGGGGACTTGGTGTTTCAGTACCAACTACCTAACAGCCATGTTCTGTTCACTAGGGATACATAGTGGATAATGTAGACTGTCTTTCTTGCCACGGAGCTTATCTAGTAATCTTAACTGTATTAAATTCTCGTAATCAACCCTTTTGCCTGAGCTCAGGAGTTAGAGACCACCCTGAGCAACATGGTGAAACTCTATCTGTACTAAAATCAACAAAATTATCTGGGCATGGTGGCAGGCGCCTGTCATTCCACCTACTCGAGAGGCCAAGGCATGAGAATCACTTGAGCCTGGGAAATGGAGATTGCAGTGAGCTGAGATCATGCCATTGCACTCCAGCCTGGGCAACAGAGTGAGACTCTGTCTCAAAAAAAAAAAAAAAAAAAAAAAAAGATTCACTTGGTGTTTACCCTCTATGGATTTGGAGAAATGTATACTGACATGTATCTACCCTTGTAGTATTACACAGAATAATTCCACTGCTCTCAAATTCTTCCTTTACATCCCTCCCTTCCCCACTAACCTCTGGCAACCACTGATCCTTTTACTGTCTCACAGTTTTACCTTTTCCAGAATGTTATATAATTGAAATCATACAGTATGTAGGCTTTGCAGATTGGCTTCTTTCACTTAGTAACATGCATTTAAGTTTCCTCCATGTCTTTTCATGGCTTGAGCTTGAATGATACTGCATTGCCTGGACGCACCACAATTTGTTTATCCATTCGCCCACTGAAGAACATCTTGGGTGCTTCCAGGTTTTGGCAATTATGAATAAAGTTGCTGTATATTCCATGTGCAGGTTTTTGTGTGGACATAAGTTTCCAACTCCTCTGTGGGAGTACCAAAGAGCACCATTGGTAGATTGGGGGGTTCTAAGAGGATGGTTAGCTTTATAAGAAATTGCAAAACTGTCTTCCAAAGTGGCTGTCCTATTTTGTGTTCCCACCAACCATGAAGGACAGATCCCATTGCTCTATATCCTTACCAGCATGTGGTGGTGTCAGTGTTCTGGGTTTTAGCCATTCTAATAGGCATATAATGGTATCTCCTTGTTTTTTTCTTTGTTTTGTTTTGTTTTGTTTTTTGAGACAGTCTCCCTCTGTAGCCCAGGCTGGAGTGCAATGGCACGATCTCGACTCACTGCAACCTCCGCCCCCCAGGTTCAAGCGATTCTCCTGCCTCAGCCTCCGGAGTAGCTGGGATTACAGGTGACCGCCACCATGCCCAGCTAATTTTTTTTTTTATTTTTAGTAGAGATGGGGTTTCATCACATTGGCCAGGCTGGTCTCTAACTCCTGACCCCAGGTGATCCACCCACCTCGGCCTCCCAAAGTGCTGGGATTACAGGTGTGAGCCACCGCGCCCAGCCTAATGGTATCTCCTTGTTTTGACTTGCATTTCTCTGATGACATGTGATGTGCAGCGTCTTTTTATATGTTTATTTGCCATCTGCGTATCTTCTTTGAGTACTTTTTAATTTAAAAACATTTTTGGTTAAAGGGGAAACCTTAGAAATTTTTCTTTCTGCATTTGCTGCAACTCTCTGCATAAAATCGAGTTTTAGGAAGGATCCTGGGATTTTGAAAAGAGAGGCCCTTCAGGGATTCTGGTCCCTCATAGTGCTGGAAGTAGAAGTCTTCAGGTCATCTTTAAATAAATTTTAAGCCTCAGTAAAAATAGCTCAAACTCATGTAGTCAGGAGAAAAAAAAAAACCCTTGACAGAGCACTAATTCTAAAAAAACAAAAACTGTGAGGCAAAAGGATGTTCTCAGATTGAATCAATTTTTTTTGTTGTTGTTTTCTGAGATGGAGTTTTGCTCTTGTTGCCCAGGCTGGAGTGCAATGGCGCGATCTCAGCTCGCTGCAACCTCTGCCTCCTGGGTTCAAGCAGCTCTCCTGCCTCGGCCTCCCAAGTAGCTGAGATTACTGGCGCCAGCCACCATGCCTGGTTAATTTTCTTGTTTTTAGTAGAGGCGGGGTTCCACCATGTTAGTCAGGCTGGTCTTGAACTCCCAACCTCGGGTGATCCGCTCACCTCGGCCTCCCAAAGTGCTGGGATTACAGGTGTGAGCCACTGAGCCTGGCCCAAAATGTTTTTAAAAGGCAAACACAAACAGCTTAATATTTGGTTTTATGGAGGTGATTTAGGGAGCAATAGAAAGTAATTTATTGATAATAAAAAAGCCATTAATTTTATAATTGTAAAGAACGTTAAGGAATTTGTGGTCTTCCTGAGTAAATTACATCTACTTAATTAAATTCATCTTTTATTCCCACATTTATGTATGAAAGAGCATAGCAAGCTCCACTTTGGAATGGTGGCTGCTAAAAAATGCTTCTCCTTCTGTCCTGGGGGGCTATCCTGGCTTTTCAGGAGGCCTGGACTTTTATTTTATTTTTTATTTGTTTTGAGGCAGTGTCTGGCTCCGTCGCCCAGGCTGGAGTGGGGTGGTGTGATCTTGGCTCACTGCAGCTTCCATTTCCTGGGTTCAGTCGATCCTCCCACCTCAGGCTCCTAAGTAGCTGGGATTACCGGCGTGTACTACCACACCCAGCTAATTTTTGTATTTTTTTGTAGTGATGGGATTTCACCAAATTGACCAGGCTGGTCTCGAAGTGATCAGCCCACCTCAGCCTCCCAAAGTGCTGGGATTACAGTTGTGAACCACTGTGCCTGGCCAGGCATGGACTTGTTTTTTTTCTTTCTTTTTCTTTTTTTTGAGACAGAGTCTCGCTGTGTTGCCCAGGCTGGAGTGAGTGGCGCAATCTTGGCTCACTGCAAGCTCCACCTCCCGGGTTTATACCATTCTCCTGCCTCAGCCTCCCGAGTACCTGGGACTACAGGTGCCCGCCACCACGCCCAGCTAATGTTTTGTATTTTTAGTAGAGACGGGGTTTCACCATGTTAGCCAGGATGGTTTCGATTTCCTGACCTCGTGATCTGCCCGCCTTGGCCTCCCAAAGTGCTGGGATTACAGGCGTGAGCCACTGCGCCGGCGTGGACTTTTAATCAGTTTTCTGGTGACAGTATATGCACCAGGTGGGTTTGGAGCTGAGAGACATTAGCTCCATAGCTGGCCCAGTGCTGGAGGAGGAGAGGACCTCCATGGGAAGAGGAGACCCCTGAATCTCCGATTAGGTCATGTTTTAAGCCAGTCCCAAGTGGACTCCAGACAAGGAGTTGACAAACTGTTTCTGTAAAGACCAGATAATAAATATTGTAGGCTTTGCGGGTCATGTGGTCTCTGTTTCAACCTTTCATTGTAAAGTAAAGGCAGCCATAGACAATCAGTAAACAAGTGGAGGTGGGTATATTCCAATAAAACTTTATTTTATGGATTAACACTGAACTTTGTTCATATAATTTTCCAGAGTCACAAAATATTATTTTAAAATTTTTCCAATTGTTTAAAAATGTAAAAACCATCCTGTATTAGTCTGTTTTCACGCTGCTAATAAAGACATACCTGAGACTGAACAATTTACAAAAGAAAGAGGTTTAATGGATTCATAGTTCCACGTGGCTGGGGGGGCCTCACAATCATGGTGGAAGGTGAATGGCACGTCTCACACAGTG